CCGACCACCACTGGGGACATCCAGGCGGTCACCAAACCCAGCCTGAACTGGAAAGGCCTTGACCCTTCCAATCGCTTGATCGAGGAGCCGCCGACTGCCAAAGGAGCCCACGACGTCCGTCAACCGCCCGCCGACCGTCAGACGACACGCCAGATGACGCTGACCCGACTGACGACCGCACTCAGGCCGCCCGCCAGCCCTCCGATCGCCAACAATGACCATACCACGACCACCGACGACCGTCCGTCGACCGCCAGACTGACGGCCGACGACCGACTGTTGACTGGCCGACATCTGACGACGACGATCAACGGCCGTCTGCTACTCACTGACCAGCGCTCGCCTTCACGCAGCGCCAGCCACGGCCCCCCAGAAGTGGGCCGCGCCCACATTCGCACGGCGACCCCCGGCTGGCCACCGGGGCGCCGCTGGGAGCGCGTCGCGCCCTCGGTGCGCGCCGCGCCGCGCCCAGGGCCACGCCGAGGCACCTGCAGCAGCCGCCAGGCTCGCTGCTCGCGAGGAGGAGTAGGAGGAGGAGGAGGAGGAGGAGGAGGAGGACGGAGGAGGAGGCGAGGAGGGGGAGGATGAGGAGGAGGAGGAGGAGGAGGAGGAGGAGGAGTAGGAGGAGGAGGAGAGAGGAGGAGGAGGAGGAGAGAGGAGGAGGGGGAGGAGGAGGAGGAGGAGGAGGTAGAGGAGGAGGAAAGGAGTAGGAGGAGGAGATGGACGGAGGAGGAGGAGGAGGAGGAGGAGGAGGAGGAGCAGGTGCAGAGGAGAACACAGACGCCTCTCCTTGCCATCGCACCCCTCCGCGCAGCACTGGTAGGCCGCCAGCGACAGCGCCGGCACCCTCACCCAGTGCGCCGGGACAGTCAGCACCAACCGGGGTCCACGCAGCGGCAGAGTTGGCGGATGCACCGGCTGCCAGCACCGGCTTCGTTCCTTACCCTGTACCCCCACCGAGAAGGAGGAGGAGGAGGCCGCGAAGTTGCCGAGGCGGGGGCTACCAGCCAGGGGCGTAAGCCCATCAACCGTCACCACGGCACTGTCGTCTCGGCCGATCGGGGGAGCCCAGCCAGAACAGGGCGGTGCAGCTGGCCAGCGGCAACACTGCGCACCCGCCCAGCTGGACAGCTGTCCCTCCCTCTTGCCGGGGGGAGGCCCGTCGCGCGTCCGACTGCTGCCCGACGACCGTCTGACGACAGTGCGCCGACAACTGCCGGCGACGGCCGCCGAGCGAACGTCGACCAACCGACGCGCGCGCGCCTGACGAGCAGGCAGCAGCACCCGCAGCAGCCACCAGGCTCGCTGCTCGTGTGCGCCGAGTGCCGCACGCAGAGGAGGGCACCGACCATCTGCCCAACGGGGAGAGGCCCTTCGACCTCCCGCCGCCGACGGGCAGACCCGCGGCCGTGGAACAGCCACGCCCGTCCACCGCCCGTTCGACGACGGCCCAACGACCGTCTCGCAACGGTACGCCGACGCCCGCCGCCGCCGCCGCCGCCCGCCGAACGAGTGGCGACCGACCGACGCGCGCGCCTGACGGCCAGGCAGCCGCATGCCGACGCCAACCCGCAGTGGGTCCCGGCGGCCCTCTCTGCCGAGTGGCGGACGACCACCACCGGCGCCCCCCAGCAGGGCCACACGGGGCCCACACGGCAGCCAGGGTACTACACACTGCCGCGCACGCCGTCCCTTTCACCCCGTGCCGCGAAGGGGTTGGCGTGCTCACTGGGGGGCCACATGCGAACCCGACCCCTACCCTCCGCGACTTCTGAGGGGCAGGGTGGGGTTCACGTCGCTCGGGAGCTCCCGAACGAAGTGAACCCCACCCTCCCCCTCAGAAGTCGTGGAGGGTAGGGGTAGGGTTCGCATGTGGCCCCCTATGCTCACCCTCCCCCACCGTGCGCCCCACTTCGGACTCTGCTCCGTCGGCTCGCTTGGCTGGCCACCGCTGCTCGAGAGCAATGGAGGCTGGCGCCCGCTGCGTGCGCGGGGCCACTGGAGTCCCCCAGGCGTGCGTCGAAGTTGCCGTCGCTGGCGGGACGGCCTGGTGGCCTCCGCCTCCCTCCTCCTCCTCCTCCTCCTCCTCCTCCTCCTCCTCCTCCGTCTTCCTCCTCCTCCTCCTCCTCCTCCTCCGTCTTCCTCCTCCTGCTCCTCCTCCTCTCCCTCCAGCTCCTCCTCCTCTGTCTCCTCCTCCTCCTCCTCCTCCTAATGTTGTTCGTGTTTGTTGTATGTTCTTGTGCACCTTGTGGAGGTTACCCTTGGATGTTCTTTGCTTTTTGGCTGTTGGAGGGAGTCATGTTCTTGAAGGATGTTCTTCTGGTCTAGGTCTGACTGTACCGACCTCCCACCCGCCCTCGGACCCCAGGGACTGCGGAAGAAGGCCCATCCCTGGGCCGACGCGCTGACTGCGGACTAATGCCTCAAGCTAGACGTTCGCGAGCACTGCGTTCCCTGCCACTTGCCCCGCCCGGGACCACGCGACTGACTCTGGCATGTG